GAGCTGTTGCCCCCGTCTTGAATGGTATGACTGTTGTGTGTTTTTAAATTATATATTGTTATGCTGTTGTTTTTTAAAACTTTTGTCTGTATCCCCCTCCCCGGTTCGAGTTGTGAGCCGCCCTGAGTCCCCCTCGGGGGAAAAGGGCAGCATATAAATTTAATAAACTGAACTGAACTGAAACTGATTTCCTTGCCTCAATATTCATGCAGTTTTTCAAAATTTACTTGGAGGAATCCTCCAAAAACCATGCAAGGGTGTTGTTTCTTGGAGAATTTCTTGGAGAAAACTCAGATAACCCAGGTCTGAGGGACATGTCCTTCACCTTGGTTAGAAGCCAATTAAAAAAAAGAAATCTCACCCTGCCAAACAAAGCTGATTGCTAGGGCAACAAGGTATATATCTCATTTTTTTAAGGCTCGACTGCCTTCAGGAGCATCGACTGGAGCTAAGAATTATGGGAAATGCTTCATAGCTTCATGGAGTGGACCTGGAAGTGCTAAGAAGGAGAACCGAGTGGGATTTTTATGGGCCTTGATTATCATGAGAAGTGTCACCACTGAAGGAACTGTGATTAGTAAACAAACTTGGAGAAGTAATGAAAAGCCGAGGGCCTGTGAAAAAAACAATTGTCCATTTCCTATATCCTGACAAGAAAGAGTTATTTCTCATCCATAATAGAAGCAAAAGACATTTGGCTCTACAATATTGGCATTTCCCAGGCTCCTTGAAGTCAATAGATATGCTCAGCATGTTCCGTATTCTTCACCGCTGCCAGAAAACCTAGGAAATTGAGTTTCTGGTGACTCTCGGGTCAAAGAGAAAAGAATCACAACTCCATTGGACAGGCTTCCTGGTGGCAGTGGAGCTTTGGGAAGGAAATTAGGCCTTTAAACGAGGCTTCACTACTCTTCTGTTCTGTTCTAGTTTTCTTTGCCAGAACAAATTCCAAGAGTGGGTGACTACTAATAATAGGGCTTTAAAAAAAATAAACCAAAAAGGAATAATGATACTGGGGCAAATTTTTATAACATGGGTCTAGATTTAGAGGGCTTTGCTCATAATATTTTGCCTTTCTTTCCTGCTTTGAACAGGGGGAAAATATTCTGAATACATCAATATCCTGAATTTTGAACTCTGGTTTTGTTTTTTATTTGTTTAGTTGTATCCAATTCTCAGAGATAGCAATAGCAATAGCAATAGCAGTTAGACTTATATACCGCTTCATAGGGCTTTCAGCCCTCTCTAAGCGGTTTACAGAGTCAGCATATTGCCCCCAACAAGAATCCGGGTCCTCATTTCACCCACCTCGGAAGGATGGAAGGCTGAGTCCACCTTGAGCCGGTGAGATTAGAACCGCTGAACTGCAGATAACAGTCAGCTGAAGTGGCAATACTGCACCCTAACCACTGCGCCACCTCGAC